TCTTACAGCACTAAACTATGTTTTCTACCTTTATCTTGCATCTACCTACCACTTCAGCATTTTATTAAAAATAAAAATAATAATAATAATAAAGGGAGAAATGTGGGATCCACATATAAATCAAGTATAAAAATCAAACGAATATTCATATTTGACCTGATTGTTTATAGTTCATAATGCATGATCAAAACCGAAAGTTTCTGTGATGAATGCCCTTGTACTGTTTACCATGTAAGAATTTATTCACTATGTAAGAATTCGTTCACCATGTAAGAACTTGTTCGTTATGCTTCAGAAGATTGGAGACTGACGAGAATTAGGCTTGAGATGGATTAATGATTGTGCGTTGAGCATTGACCCCCCCTATACAGAATTTTATTGTTGTTAACAACCATTTGATCAATAAATATGAGAGATGTCCTCTCAAAAAAATAAAATGCTCAGCAGAGTGCCTGGCATAGTAGAAAGAAACAATAAATGGTGGTTGCCATTGCTATTACAGCCACTGCCTCTGCTGCCAGTGGTGCTGACATAGGCTGTCCTGTGAGCAGTTAGACAGGAGGGCCTGCCCTCGCCCAGCAGGCAGGAGCACTGAGGATAGGCACAGCCCAGAACAGTGGGGACTCCAGGAACACTTGGCTAGCATCCCTAGGCCTGCCTGCAGGCCCTCCCTAGGCTTCAGTTCTTTCCACCTCGTCCTAGGCAGCCCCCTTTAAAGGGTCATACACACTTACTGTCCCTTCCCCTTCATATTCCTCCAGTTGTGCCTCTGTCCCCATGCATGCCACCTAAGACTGCTATGTGGCAACCCTCTGAAGGCACTCTTTAGCCTTCATCTCACAGGGTATCTTCCACATCCATCTCCAGCCCAGCCAGGCCCCCTGGCTTCGCATCTGCAGAACAACCTGCCTGAAGGTTTCCTCTACCTGGGCATCTCTTCATAGCCACACAGACTTCACCATCTTCTAAGGCAAAGCCTGTTTCACCTTCCATTGTTAATACTCAGATAAAGTGGGAACCAGCAATACACAATAAACATATGAAAACCACTCAATTCCCAAGTCATTAGGGAAATGCAAAATAAAGCAATACCAGCTCATACTCATCAGATCAGCACAAATTTTAAAGTTCAGAAAATAATAAAATGACTACCTGTGAACACATCCTCCAGATTTGCCAAATTGGGTATACATCATCTTTTTTGAAAGAATACGATCTTACATAATTGAAGGTCCCTTGTCACCCTCCCCAATGCCATGGTCTTTCTTCCTCAGAGGAAACAATTCTGAGGTCGGAATGGGTGATTCTCACACATATTTTTGGACTTTCATCATTTATATTTGGATCCATACATAATAGATTTACAGAAAACACTGCTTTGGGTGTCTTGATATTCACTAAATGGAATTAAACCTTACACACCACTTCATATTTTCCTTCAACATTATTTTCAAGATTTACCCTTGCTGATACATGTAGAGTTGGGTTTGCTCACTTTTAACTGTGGTAGCGTCTTCTCCTGTGTGAATATACCACAATGTATATATTCCCTCCCATGCTGCTCCACAAGTAGGTTTTCCAATTTTTTCACAAACAAAGCTAAAGTCAACATCTTGTGCACACATGTGGCACATGTGTAAATTCCTCTAGGGTGCATTCCCAGATGTAGAACTGCCATGTCAAAGGGCACATGCTTTTGCAACTTTACTAGATGCGGTCAGCTAATTCCCCAAATTATGCCGATTTATACTCCCAGCCAGGGAGTGTGAGAATTCTTGCCTTCCCACATCTGCCTCAGCACTTGGGATTGCCAAATTTTCTTCCCATTAAAATTGCTATTATTTAACTTTATTGGCTTTACTCTGATTACAAAAGTGGAACATGTTTGTATAAATTAGAATACTGTGAACGTGTACAACATGGAAAGTGAAAATCCTCCCGAGATGCAGTTCTGAAAAGTTTTGGTATTAAAATAGCATACGCTGCTCCAGAATTTTTTCTGTGCATATACTAACATGAATAAATGAAAATATTTGCTGTTTTTCTACAGAGTTGTTTCATCCAATTGTATCATCTCTAAGTAGTTTAAAATGTAAATGCATCGACAAACTCACTCTCATTTCCTTTTTCTTTTTCTTTTCCAGTCATTGCCTGTCAATTCATTTCATTGCTTAGCACATAATTTCAGGGCCTGGCACATAGTAGGTGTTCATTAAATATTTGCTCCATGAATGAATGGGTAGATGGATTCATTCTTACATGTACAGTCATTTTCATTAAATTCCTTACTTTTCCATGCCCAGAAGAACATAGGCTATCTTCTACTTGCAAAAGACCAACAATGATTGAAAAGCAAGACATTAACAGGAATGAAGCAAGCCCCTATCCCTTTTTTTCTGAGCAATTCCAATTCCTGGAAGGGTTGCAAGACTGGGATGACATGCAAAAGCCCAGGCTCCAGTGTGTCCTCAGACAGAAAGGGAGACCCCAAGACTGTGATGGACCAGCCTAGTAGTGCCATCCCTTCCTTAAAAGCAAAAAAATTCTGAAGTTAATATATTCCAGTAGTCACAGCCTGAGTCATCCAAAAAGTTCTTGCTAAGTGTCCCTCTTGCTAAGCCCCTAACCAAGTTATCTCTTGTTATAGACAAGTAATGAACATTCAGTTTGTGTGAGATGATGACTAGGTCTGAAGCACTTCTCTCTGGGGGATCCCTGCCTCAGCCAGGGTGGAAGTACAGGCTGGCCATCAGGACTGCAGGGGCCTGTGCAGCACTGGGATTTTGTTGTGTCTGGGCTGCACAAAGGTTTTTAAACATTTGAGCCAACATTTAAAACTTGGGAGAGTTCACATACACATATGGCTCCCAGCAGCGGGCAGCCTGGTGGGCAGGGCCGCAGTCTGAGAACCAGTCCCCTCCACTCTTGGCCACGGTCCCAGGAACCATTGCTGTGGACTCACCTACACACTGCCAATCCTAGAAGACAAGTATTTCCCATACCCCTGACTCTATCAAAAGTGAGAAAACAGCATAGAAAGCATAATGTTTCAAGAAAAGTAGCAGAGGCAGCATCTCTCTCCCTGAAAGCATAGAATATTTGAATATGTTTACTCTTCAGGACAAAGTGTCTCTGTGTCCAAAGACATGCTTTTTGCCTGCCAGGCTCCCACAGACATTTACTTTAAGTTTCCTATATTTTTAGGAGAGTCTCGGCTATTACCCCAAGGCCTGTGGGGCTTTCGGCTCATCACTTACCTGCTCCGGGCTTCAGGTTTCTCATCTGCCCAGCAGGCAGGGAGATCACAGCAGGTTCTCTCTGCCAGCATCAGGGTGAGCCTGGCCTCTCAGGGAATAAGACTTGCTTTCTGTTTCTCTTCACACTCTAGGCTTCCAGGTGGTGATGAAAGATGCGTTTGGGGTGTTTTTAGGTTTGCAAACGTACTTCAGGGAACTCCCCTGCTTCCTGTCATGCAAAGGAGGTTTCATTTCTCTAGATGTCATGGTGGGTGGGGAGTGAGGGTGACAATGCTCAGGGCGGAAGTCAGACTGGCACGCAGGCAGGCTGGAAGTCTGCCAGGGGTTGGGCAATGCCCCACCTCCTCATGTCCTCCAGGCCTCCTGGTGACCCTCAGGGTCTAGGGCACGTCAAGGCCAGAGGTGGTGCAGGTGTGATTCCAGGGCTGCTCTCAGAAAACACCCCTTGTCCAAGCCTTGGGCCCCCCTCAGAAACCTGTCTTGAGATGGGAGTGGAAGAGGTTCTTCCTTGAACGAAACCTTGCAGGGCATTGCTGGAAAACCCTCACTCGAATTTTGCCCCTCTGTAAGAGAAAACTGGGGCATTGTAAGACAAATTGCAGCAGAAAAAGATAAGTTTTCAGGTCCTGGGGATGAGTGTCTGCACTGTTCATTTAAGCGACATCCAGGGCATCAGAAAGAGATAACTCGTCTGTGGAGACAGATGCCGATGCCAATAATGAATTCATGAGAAGCACAAAAGGCGGGCTGGGAGGGTTTTATTAATTATGTTTCTTTTATCCTCATAACAATGGCATGTCAGTAATCTACACTGAATGTGCCCAGTTGATGCTAATGATTTCATCCTTTTGTTTCTGTTTTAAAAAAAAACCTATCTGCCCAATCTAGTCAGCCTCGGTGAGAGCCTGGAGCCCACGGAGACCCTGTAAGCCCTCACCCCGGCCCCTCCGCCTGTCAGTTTTGCACCCGGCCCTCCTGGCAACGCCAGCACCAGTCCTGCCTTGCACTGGTCATTTGCTGTGTCCCCAGGCCCTGACCCCACCCTCCTGCATTTGCTCTGCCAGAATCCCACATACAGGTACTCTGACATGGGTAATGAGTCCTCTCAATGGGGTGATAGGCAAGGTGTGATGTGACAGTGAGTGTGTGAGTGCATGTGCATGTGTATGTCTGGAGCAGTACTTCAGAGCCAAAGACCCCCTCTTGGTATGCCTCAAATCACATTCCTCACCCAAGGGTTCTTTCTGAAGAAAGAAAGAAATAGGTTATGGATTGCTTTCTTCCCACCATCCCTGTCTATTATTACTAGGTTTCATTATTAGGCATAATTAAAAAGGGTATGTGTGTTGGGGGTACAGCAATGACTGAGTCACGAATCATTTGCCCACACCTGTCATCCTCCCACCCCACAGCCAGGAAGGAGTTGTCAGGAATGGCACCAAGGAGTTTTCAAACTTAAATGTGCTCAGCCGCAGGGCCCTTCTCTCCTGCTCCTCCCAGAGCCACTTCATAATGACTGCTACGCATCTGGCCCAGGAGAGGCCCAAGGAAAGCATCCAGGCACTAACAGTTTCCTGTTATAAACAAGGGAGACAAATGTGCACACCCAACACCTAGGCTTGGACACAAGATTCATTAGCACGGGGTGGGTGGGGTGCCCGGGTGGGGTGCCCCATACAGGACTTTCACCTGGAACACCCAGAAAGGGCTTTCAGAATGGGTTTGGCTGACCTTCTGGCCCGTACATCAACACGGAACTTTCACCCAGGTAGGCCTGCTTTGTAGGAAGATCCTAGAGGGGTCCCATTGTGGCCACCTGCGGCTCAGACAGTTCTGGAATATCCATGCAGGGGACCCAAGAGTGACCTGCAGCTGACAGCAGGGGTCATGAGCATACCCTGAGGATGGATCTTTAACCTCATATTTATTGAGGTAGTTTGGGAGGAACTGACGGGGTTGATAGAGGGGTCAGAGCTTCTCCCACTCCCACTCTTGGGCACTGCCAACATCCTACCCAACCTGACTCTACCCTCTGGACCTCCTTCTCCCAGGCTAGGGGCCCACTGGCACAGCTGGTGGGCTGGCCCCTCTGAGCATCCCTGATGGAGCCAGTGCTGAGAAGACCACTGCTGAGGGGCTTGGCAATGCTCTGGTGGAAGGCCCCATGCGCTCTCTGCCCCTGAACAGCTGCTGGACCCTGGCATATTATGCTGCTATAAAAATATCAGTATGGCCACCCCAGCTCCTGGAGAAAGTCTCAGTGTGACAGCCTGCAAAGTAATCCTACATTTCAATTTCATCTACAAATCCTGGTTTCCCCCAGACAAGCTCAAACCTGCACAGATGGTCCCTCACACCAAAAAGTAAAAATAACAAAGCTTGCAATTCTGGGCCTCCCTGTTCTCGGGGCAGATGTGCTGCCGCACATTTCAGAAGACACACAGCCTGCATCCCAGCAGCAAGCCCTCTCCTCCTGTACATTCTCATTCACCCCTTCTGGTGTACTGGTGGGGAACAGCCATGGCCCCTCAGTGTGTTCTTGGAAGTGTTTCTGGGGTGCCTGTGCCTTTGGAGAGGGGCAGGAGGTTCAGGGGTTGTCAGAGTGAAGACTCACCCTGCACTCAAGTACCCAAGGCTGGCTATATTGCCAACCATGAGATGGTTCAGGAAAGGGAGGGTTTAGAGCAAGGTTAGGTAGTCAGTAAAAGCAAGGGCAAGAGGCCGCCATGCATGCCAAGGGCAGGTGGGAAAGAGGAAGCTCTGGGGGCTCCTGATTTTTTGAACCTCCTCAAATCTCAATCAGCTACATGAGCTTCCATTACCTTTTAATTATTTCCACCAATATTTGCTGAGAGCCTGTATGCCAGGCTCTGGGGATAATTATAGACAAGACAGACCCAGAGAACACAGGCCCGAAGAATATGCAGACAAGGTCATTTGTGGGCTTGGATGGCCACAGACTCAATGGTCAGAAAGGCCAGAGTAGGAGGCCATGAGAGAGACCGGAGGGGGCGGGAGCCCCCAGCCAGTGACACAAAGAGGCCGCATGTAGGTGAGGCCCACCTCTGATGAGACTTGTAACATGGAACCCCCAATTCTTACTCTTCTTATCTAGAAATGGTGGCTGTTTGTTCCATGGTCAGATAATATAAAGATTTATATTTAACTTGTTTAGTTGCAAGTTAAACAGAGCTCAAACTGCCAGGAGAAAAAAGAAATTAATGGATGCATATGTCTGGATAGCCCTGGGACATATCTAGCCTCAGGCATGACTGGATCTGGGTGTTTGTACACTGTGCTTGCTCAACTCTGCTTTGTTCTATGCTGACCTCATTCTACATGTGGCATCTGCCAGTATCTCCTGGCTGATAGTCCTACCTGCAATACCTCCTTCCCAGAATCTCTAGTCAAAGTCCTGGGGATGGTTCTCACTGGTCCAGTGTGCACATGTCCATCCATTCTCTAGTCACTGTGGCCAGGGAGATGCAGTGCTCTCATTGGCCAGACATGGGTCACAGGTCAGGCCCTGGGGCAAGGCTGGAATCAGCTGCATGGGAGCTACCTGGCTTGAGAGGAGAGGAAAAGGGATGCTGGCCTGGAGAAAGCAGCAAATATAGAAACAAGGACAAGAGCCCTCCCAAACAATGGTTGGCAGCAGATGTGAATGTACTCTGAAACAGCTGCAATACAGGATTCTTCTTACTAAAGGTGTATGACCACTGTCATTCATCACCTCTGTGTCTCTGACTCTACAGTGCTGGCCTCTATGACAGGCCTGGGATGTAGGGTAGGCTCTAGATACCTCCATGGGGAAGGAAGCCTGCCCCAACACCTGACATCATGGAAGAAGCCCACCACTCAAGTGTGGCACCGCACCGTCAATCACCATTCTTTCTTTCTGGCGTTGCCCAGGTCTCCCCGTGTTTTGGCTTCCCTCTTCCTCTTCCTTAGACAAGCACCTGCTATCCCTCAGCCTGGGACAGAGGGAAAAAGACAGAGATCAGGAGGGTCCTTACCAGCCAAAGCCCCAGGCTTGGGTTTCTTATGCACAAAGCCTCTATTCACCACCCAGACCTCTGGTTAGATTTGCCCTCTTTAGTGAAAAAAAGGTGTTGGGTCCAACATCATACTGCAGTTCAGGGAGGCTCTAAACAGGTGTGGCCGAACAAGTGTTGCTCTTGGTCCTGGGATCGGGGTAGGGGCAAAAGAGGTGTCATTATCAGAGACAGACCTGAGAAGGTTGCCAGTAAGTAAAAGAGTTGGGAGGAGGCAAATAGAAGGGTTCAGCTTTGCCCACATCTGTCATCCTCCCACCCCACAGCCAGGAAGGAGTTGTCAGGAATGGCACCAAGGAGTTTTCAAACTGTCCTGACATGTCTGCACAGACATGTCACTGTCCTGTCCTGACATGTGTCACTGTCCTGACATGTCTCAGCGACAGCATCAGGGTAAGTCACTGTTTGAAGATGCCTGTGGAAACTTCCATAAAGTATATATTGAGCGAAGAAATGGGTTCAGGGGTTAGGCTTGGATTTGGAGAGCAGGAAAGCTGTCCCCAGTAGTTCCCAGCCCCAGCATGAATAGTCACCAACAGTGTGCATGGCACTGCTGTCAGGGCTTTAGTTTACTCATTGAATTCTCCCACAACCCCCTTTTAGAGAAGTGGAAGGAGACACAGAGAGAGTCAGCAACTTGCCAAGGTCATGTGGGGTGGGGGTAGGCGCTTGTTTCAGGGCCAGAGGCTATAATGAATAAGTCCAGGTCTGGCTAATCTCATTAAATTTATATGAACCCCAAATACCAACGGAGAACGGCAGTGCCAGGGCCATAGTCCTGCAAGAGGGCTCAGGGCCAAGCGGCTCAGCTCCTGGGCCCGGGACACTCTCTTCTAAGAATTCTGAGCGCTCTGCCCACCCCTTCTAAGCCACTGCCAGTCGTGGCCCCAGGCGGCCGCCAAGTCCCAGTGCAGCGCCTTCTGGTCACGCGGCGAGGACTAAGGAGGAGGAGAAGAGGAAGGGAGAGGAAGGGCAGCGTTGAAGCCAGCTAGGGGAGGGAGCCTGAGTGCCTGGGCGTCGTTCCCTGCGGGGCTCGCTGACGACCCGCGGCTCCCGGAAGAGATGGGGGTCTCCGATGAGAAGGGGAGGTCATGTGAGCGGCGACGCGGGGGCACAGGTCGCCCAGTAGCTGCACACTCGCCGCGCCAAGGCGGAAACTATCGCGACAATTTGGCGAGCG